GTCTACCTCGGTTGGCAGGGTGCTGTCCAAGTAGGCCCAAGCCTGTTGTTTGAGGTCCTGCTCCAGGTCCACCTGATGCTGCTGCTGCTGCTGCTGCTGCTGCTGCGGCTGGTTAGTAGTTTCCTCACTGCGCTGGTGAAGAAAGCTACTCATCATCGACTGCAGACTGAGGCAGCCGCTGCTGGTGGAGCTGCCACTGCTCCTACCACCCCACCCCCCCCCCCTGCTGCCATGGCAGCGGAACGCGAGCGCACAGGGCCCACAGTGTCTGAGGATGGACGTTGGCGCACAAAGGCAGAGACCAACTGACTACATAGGTGGTTTTTTATAGTACGTTATTTTTTGGCCTCCCTCTCAGCAGGTGTGAAAAAAAGGGCCACCATTTTGGAACGGTAGCGAGGGTCCAACAAGGTGGACAGCCAAGTCATCCCTCTGTCTGATGGTTATTATTCGGCTGTCGCTACGCAAGCAACCGAGCATGCTATGGGCCATTTGTGCCAAGGAATGCGAGGGACTCCCTGCCTCCATCTCCACAGCATACTGCCACGGTGCGTCTGGGTCCTCTGTCTCCTCCTCCTCCTCCTCCTACCAGATGCTCCTGCTCCTCCACTCCTGTCCGCTGAGTGGAAAAACCACCCATTTCACTCAATAATTCCTGAGCACAAATGTCCTCCTCTACCTCCTCCTCTTCTTCCTGTCCTGCCCCCACAGGGGTCATGTGGCGTTGAGATCTGTGCGCCACGTCTACCGCACCCTGACCAGCCATTGTTAACAGCATTTGTTTCAAGGACGTGCAACAGAGGAATGACGTCGTTCATCCCATAGTCCTGCCGACTCACGAATAGCGTGGCCTCCTCAAAGGGCCTGAGCAAGCGGCAGGTGTCACGCATGAGCTGCTGCCAATGGCTGACATCGACATCGAGTTACACAGGGGAGTACCTTTATCCGCTTGTAACATCAGGAAATCGGTGATGGCCTTTCGCTGCTCGTAAAGGCGGTCTAACATGTGTAGGGTTGAATTCCACCTTGTTGCAACGTCGCAGATCAGGCGATGATGTGGAATTCCGTTCTGCCGCTGCAGCTCAAGGAGGGTGTGCTTTGCGGTGTAGGAATGGCTGAAATGCATGCAAAGTTTACGTGACATTTTAAGGATGTCTTGCAGTGGGATGGTGGATTTTAGGAACCGCTTGACAACCAGATTGAACACGTGAGCCATGCATGGCGCATGGCACAACCTTCCTTGACGCAGAGCAGACACCATGTTCTTTCCGTTGTCGGTCAACATGGTTCCGATTTTCAGTTTGCGCGGAGACAGCCATCTGTCGATTTCTCTGTTCATTACACTCAGAAGTTCCTCCCCTGTGTGACTACGTTCGCCAAGGCATACCAGGTGCAGAACAGCGTGACACCGTTGCGCCCTGCACATGTGATATGCCGGTCGGGTAATGGGACTTGGCACGGGGGTGGCGGCTGAGGACACGGCGGAAGAAGAGGTGGTAGAGGGCGGACATCTTTGCCGGACCAAGGACGTGCAAACGTGGAGGCAAAAGCGGCGTGACCTGTCCAAGTTGCTGGTGCGGCTGTGACGGCACCACGTTCACCCAGTGGGCCGTAAATGACATGTACTGTCCCTGACCGTAGTTACAGCTCCACACGTCGGCGCTGCCGTGCACTTTGGCAGAGACCGACATGCTCAAAGACTGGCCCACCATGTCTTCTACATGTGAATGCAGGGCTGGCACTGCCTTTTTGGCGAAGAAATGACGGCTTGGCACTCTCCACCGCGGCGCGGCACAAGCCATCATTTCTCTGAAAGGTGCTGAGTCCACCACTTGGAAAGGGAGGGACTGCAGCACCAGCAACTTGGACAGGAGGACGTTCAGCTTTTGCACCGTCGGGTGCGTGCTCGCAAACTGTTGTCTCTTGGAAACGGATTCCAAGAAAGACTGCTGACGGAATCCGTGAAGAGGAGTAGCAGGAGAAGGAGCATCTGAACGAGCGGAAGATGCCAACGAGCGACAACTCCCCTCAGCAGAGGTGTTGGAGCCTTGACTGGCTGATGGAGGGCGATTGACGTCGGGTGACGGAGCAAGTAACGGAGCGGGATGGAGCGGGGGCTGGGGCGGGCAGAACCGCCGTATCTTTATCACGGTTTTCCCAGGCCACCAAATGGCGACGCTGCATATGCTGCCGCAACGCTGTAGTCCCAACATGGGCCCCCTGGCCACGCTTGACTTTCTGGCCACATAGTCGACATACGGCTACGTTTACTTCCTCGGGCGGCTTGACGAAAAATTGCCACACCGCCGAGTAGGAAACTTTGCCCCCGATACTCCTCACTGGCTGACTGCTGCTTCCTCCGTGCACACCGGCACCACTACTGGCCGTGGTGGTAGGCTGCAGTGGAGCTGGTGCTCTACTCCGTGGCCCGTTTGGCTCCACTGACACACTGCTTCCACTGACACTGCTGCGACCCTGCTGCTGTCTCCTGGGCAACCCACCGACTGTTTTCGCTCACTGCCAAGCTGCCACCCTCTTCTCCTGATGATGCGGAAGAAATTGCCTGATGACGACGAGGCTGCCAAGTGCGATCAACCTCCTCATCATCAAGTAGGGTCTCCGCCTCACTACTAGCCCCCTCGGCTGCGTCTGGGTCAGGAGACAGACCTGTCTCTAGACCGGCTACCGGGCCACTCTCCTCGCCACTACTTCTTCGCCTGGCTGCTGAAAAGGCGGATGTCTCCCCCCGTTCCTGACCGCCCTCTGTTAGCTCTTCCTCACTGTACAGTGGGGCTGAGCCCACAGCATGCGATACTTCGCTTGGTGAGGGAACACCAAAGGACGGGGCAGGTAGAGGACACGTGATTTCAGTGGGCTTGGTCCCGGGCCATGCCAACTAACGGTTGTGTCTGACGTACCCACCGACCGTTGGCTGTAGGTGTCAGAGGTGACCTGGGAAGAGGAAGACGACCGAGCCAACCAATCGATGACGGCAGGGTTGTCGGTGGAGACACGACCGCTGGATGACACCGGGGAGCACTGGCCTCTGGCTGCGAATAGTGCTGCCTCGACCCCTTCCTCTGCTGCCACGTCTGCTCGCTCCTAAAACATTGCCTCCTCTGCCACTCCTCTGCATGTTGTCTGACATACTCTTTAATTAAACGATTATGTGTCCCTGAGTAACAATTCTGTGTCCCTGAGTAACAATTCTGTGTCTCTGTGCGAGTGCCCTAGTAACAATTCTGTGGCCCTAAGTAACAGTTCTGTGGCCCTCAGTAACAATTCTGTGTCCCTGATTAACAATTCTGTGGCCCCAAGTAACAGTTCTGTGGCCCTCAGTAACAATTCTGTGTCTGTGCGAGTAACAATTCTGTGTCCCTGTGCGAGTAACAATTCTGTGGCCCTAAGTAACAGTTCTGTGGCCCTCAGTAACAATTCTGTGTCCCTGAGTAACAATTCTGTGTCCCCAAGTAACAATTCTGTGGCCCTGCAGTAACAATTCTGTGGCCCTGTGCAGTAACAATTCTGTGTCCCTGAGTAGTAACAGTTCTGTGGCCCTAAGTAACAGTTCTGTGGCCCTCAGTAACAATTCTAACAATTCTGTGTCTGTGCGAGTAGTAACAATTCTGTGTCTGTGCGAGTAACAATTCTGTCTGTGGCCCCTAAGTAACAGTTCTGTGGCCCTCAGTAACAGTTCTGTGTCCCTGAGAGTAACAATTCTGTGTCTGTGCGAGTAACAATTCTGTGTCCCTGTGCTGAGTAAACAATTCTGTGTCTGTGCGAGTAACAATTCTGTGGCCCTAAGTAACAGTTCTGTGGCCCTCAGTAACAGTTCTGTGTCCCTGTGTAACAATTCTGTGTCTGTGCGAGTAACAATTCTGTGGCCCTAAGTAACAGTTCTGTGGCCCTCAGTAACAATTCTGTGTCCCTGATTAACGTTTCTGTGGCCCCAAGTAACAGTTCTGTGGCCCTCAGTAACAATTCTGTGTCCCTGTGCGAGTAACAATTCTGTGTCTGTGCGAGTAACAATTCTGTGTCTGTGCGAGTAACAATTCTGTGGCCCTAAGTAACAATTCTGTGGCCCTCAGTAACAATTCTGTGGCCCTCAGTAACAGTTCTGTGTGTCCCTGTGTAACAATTCTGTGTCTGTGCGAGTAACAATTCTGTGGCCCTAAGTAACAGTTCTGTGGCCCTCAGTAACAATTCTGTGTCTGTGCGAGTAACAATTCTGTGTCTGTGCGAGTAACAATTCTGTGGCCCTAAGTAACAGTTCTGTGGCCCTCAATTCTGTCTGTCCCTGAGTAACAATTCTGTGGCCCTAATAACGTTTCTGTGGCCCTAAGTAACAATTCTCTGGCACTCAGTAACAATTCTGTCTGTCCCTGAGTATGAATTCTGTGGCCCTAACTAGCGTTTCTTTGTCCCTAAGTAACGATTCTGTGGCCCTAATTAACAATTCCCTGAGTAATAGTTCTCTGTCCCTGAGTAATCGTTTCTCTGTCCCCAAGTATCGTTTCTGTGGCCCTAACTCTGTCCCTGTCCCTAGTACAGAGCGGTCTGCCTCTGTTCAATGACTGCAGGCAAATGAAGAATTCCAAAATGGCCGCTATTTATAGCTCGACCATTACACAGTGCTAGCTGGCTGGCTGCTGATTGGCTGATGCGATCACATGTCGTTGAGGAATGCATTATGGGTCAGCGCGCCTTGTCTGCGCGCCTTCCCAGACATCCCCGCTCCGTCGCCGCACATGTCAGCCGCCATTTTCGGAAAAATTTCGATTCGCGCGTCCGAATTAGGCTATTTTTTCGGATTCGGCGCGAATCGAAATTTTTCCGATATTCGACTCGAATTCCACTTCGGATACTTCGATTCGCTCATCTCTAATTATAACTGGTTCTTGTCGTATGCAGATACACTATATTGCCAGAAGTATTGGGCCAGCCCTCCCAATCATGTGATTCAGGTGTTCCAATCCCCTCCATATCATGTGAGTCAGGTGTTCCAATCCCCTCCCAATCATGTGATTCCGGTGTTCCAATCCCCTCCATATCATGTGATTCAGGTGTTCAAATCCCCTTCCAGTCAAGTGATTCAGGTGCTCCAATACCCTCCAATCATGTGATTCAGGTGTTCCAATCCCATCCATTCAATGTGATTCAGGTGTTCCAATCCCCTCCCAGTCATGTGATTCAGGTATTCCAATCTCCTCCATATCATGTGATTCAGGTGCTCCAATCCCCTCCCAGTCATGTGATTCAGGTGCTCCAATCCCCTCCATGGACACAGGTGTATACAATCAAGCCCCTAGGCATGCAGACTGCTTCTACAAACATTGGTGAAAGAATGGGTCGCTCTCAGGAGCTCAGTGACTCCAAGCGTGGTCCCGTGATAGGTGGTCACCTGGGCAATAAGTCCATCCGCGACATTTCCTGGCTACTAAATATTCCACGCTCAACTGTTAGTGGGATTATAACAAAGCGGAAGCAACTGAGAACAACAGCCACTCAGCCACCAAGTGGTAGGCCACGTCACATGACAGAGCGGGGTCAGCGCATGCTGAAGCGCACAGTGCGCAGAAGTCACCAACTGTCTGCAAAGTCAATAGCTAAAGACCCCAAACTTGGTGTGGCCTTACATCACCAAGTGGAATGCAAAGCGTTGTATGCAGTGGCGTAAAGCACGGACTCTAGAGCAGTGGAGACGTGTTCTCTGGAGTGACCAATCACGCTTCTCTGTCTGGCAATCCGATGGATATGTCTGGGTTTGGTGGTTGCCAGGAGAACGGTACTTGCCTGACTGCACTGTGCCAAGTGTAATGTTTGGTGGAGGGGGGATTATGGTGTGGGGTTGTTTTTCAGGGGTTGGACTTGGCCCCCTAGTTCCAGTGAAGGGAACTCTTAAGGCGACATTTTAGACAATTTCATGCTCCCAACTTTGTGGGAGGAGTTTGGGGATGGCCCCTTCCTGTTCCAACATGACAGCACACCAGTGCACAAAGCAAGGTCCGTAAAGACATGGAGGAGCCAGTTTGGGGTGGAGGAACTTGATTGACCTGCACAGAGTCCTGACCTCAACTCCATAGAACACCTTTGGGATGAATCAGTGCCTGACCTGACAAATGTGCTTCTGGAAGAATGGTCAAACCTTCCCATAGACATCCTCCTGAACCTTGTGGACGGCCTTCCCGGAAGAGTTGAAGCTGTTATAGCTGCAAAGGGCGGGGCCAACTCAATATTGAACCCTACGGACTAAGACTGGGATGTCATTAAAGTTCATGTGCGTGGAAAGGGCGGGGCCCAATACTTTTGGTGATATAGTGAATGTTTCCAAAAAAAAGAATGTTTTTTGGTGAACATACAAAAGCAGAGCAAGCTCTGGCAGTTAACATTATCCCCTCTTCTGTGGCCAAAATGGAATAAACATTTTTTGATGGAGTTGGAAAAGTCAAATTTGGCCCAAATTTGCAAATGTTGGTCCTAACTATGTATGACCCTATCTATGGAATGGTAAGTCTGCCCTGTAATAAATGTGGCCATCACTAATGGGGCCTTCACATTATCTCATAATCAGAAGGAAAATTCCATATTTGGAACAATCATAAAATTTTCATATAGTGTCTTTTCAAAAGCCAATTCAGACCTTCCAAAAGAAAATTACTGAACTAGCAAACTGAGCGTTTTTTTTCTCGTTACTGGACAGAACTTATGATTTTTTTGTGTAATGTGTACTGGTTTCATAAATGTAACATCCCATGAGAAATATGGCGCATTATCGCGAAAAAATATTTTCCAACCCAGAAGAACATGCAGCTGTTTATAACCACAAAGTAAATATCATAGGTATTATAATAACAATGTATAAAATATGTATATGACATCATGTATGACATCAATGTCCTTGTGATGAGATTTGTGCAGCAAAATGTACGTCTTCTTGTTTCTGTCGTCCTATGGAGCAGTATAGAGCAGAAAATACTGAACCCTACTGGACCAGCACTCTTGGAATTAGCGCACCCAATAGTTGAGTTTTTTTTTTTACCATCTCTGGTGGGTCGTAATGGTCTAGTTTGATCCTTAAGAGTTTGCTATACCTACTATGTACAGCAGGGGATTGAAAGTTTGGGCACCCCAGCTAAAAATTTGTATTAATGTGCATAAAGAAGCCAAGGAAAGATGGAAAAATCTCCAAAAGGCATCAAATTACAGATTAGACATTCTTATAATATGTCAACAAAAGTTAGATTTTATTTCAAAATAACAGAAAACAAAAAAATGGCGTCTGCAAAAGTTTGGGCCCCCTGCAGAGTTAATATCTTGTACTGCCCCCTTTGGCAAGTATCACAGCTTGTAAACGCTTTTTGTAGCCAGCCAAGAGTCTTTCAATTCTTGTTTGAGGTATCTTTGCCCATTCTTCCTTACAAAAGTCTTCCAGTTCTTTGAGATTTCTGGGCTGTCTGTCACGCACGGCTCTTTTAAGGTCTATCCATAGATTTTCAATTATGTTGAGGTCAGGAGATTGTGATGGCCATGGCAAAACCTTCAGTTTATGCCTCTTGATGTAATCCCCCGTGGATTTCGAGGTGTGTTTAGGATCATTATCCATTTGTAGAAGCCATCCTCTCTTTAACGTCAGCTTTTTCACAGATGGCATCAAGTTACCATCCAAGTGGCCAAAAACTTTCGATCCCCACTGTACATACGCCACTGTCTGTCCTGTCTGCATTGCTTGCAAGTTCTTCCTACATTTGTCATGAAAGTTCAATGGCTGTACTGTTCTCTATTTGTATTTGCAGTAAAGCTGGACATAGGTGGTTTGAATGCTGGCCGCTTCAGCAAGGACCGTCCGAGATTTGAACCATCTATGGGTAGGATACTTGTACCCAAGTTGATCCATCAATCAATTTAGGTACAATCAGCATGTCAAATTTTTCAGGCAATGATTGGCACTGGCTTTAGCTCCTAGCAACAATCACTGTAAGTTCTCCTGGCCAGGACAGCTCCCCACGTGCCCCCCACCAGGAGAACACTTCACGGGAGGTATTCCCCCACCAACACTAACTTAAAGCAGAGTTCTACCCAAAAGTGGAAGCTCCGCTTGTTTGCCTCCTCCCCCTTCCACTGCCATATTTAGCACTGTTTGAGGGGGGAGCGGATACCTGGTTTTGATGGGTACCTGCTCCCACTTCCGGCTAAGTGAGCCGGAAGTTCGGCCCCCCTCCTTCCTCCTGCAGTCTTCTGAGACAATTCACAGGTTCCAGAAGACTGCTGGACCAATCAGGAGGCGCAGCATTACTCGTGCATGTGCCATGGGTACCCAGCTGTGAAACCGCAAGCTGTCGCAGCTTGGTGGCTACAATTGAGATGCTGCCACCGGGGATAGAAGAGGGAGAGAAGAGACGGCGTGGGTGAGCACAACGCTGGACCCTGGGACCGGTTAGTGGGTGTTTATTAAAAGTCAGCAGTTACAGTTTTTGTAGTTGCTGATTTTTAATAAACACAAAAATGACACAGCCATCCAGAGCAGTGTGATTACAGTGAAACACCAACACCCCACCCCCTAGTAAAACATTCCCTACACACAGTTAACCCTTTGATCGCCCCTCATGTTAACCCCTTCCTGCCCAGTGCCATTAGTACAATGTCAGTGCTTTTGATTAGCTCTGATCACTGTATTGGTGATACAGGGGATGTCAGCGACACCAAGTCAGTTCCCCCCAGTGTCAGAATGTCCGCCGTAGTCCGGCTTTAAATTGCTGATCGCCGCCATTACTAGTAAAAATGAAAAAAAAAAAAAAATCCCAGTATCTATACCGCCATTTGTAAACGCTATAACTTTCAAATAAACCAACTAATTTACACATATTGGGATTTTGTTTTCTAGCAAAGACATGTCGCAAAATACATTTTGGCCAAAATTAGATTTTTTTTTAAAAAATTTTTTTACTGGACATGTTTAATAGGAAAAAAGTCAAAAATATTGTTTTTTTTTCGCACAATGTCAGTTTTTTTTCAGCGCAAAAAAATAAAAAACGCACAGGCAATCAAATACCACTGAAAAAAAGCTCAAGTTGTGGGAAAAAAAGGACGTAAATTTAATTTGGGTGCAGCGTTGCATGATCGCGCAATTGTCAGTTAAAGTAACGCAGAGCCATAACACAAAAAATGGTCTGTTCAGGAAGGGGGGGGGGGGGGGGGGGTAAATCTTCTGAAGGGCGAGGGGTTAATATAATGAAATAATTTGAAATTATAGCAACACAGTGGATTAATCAAACTAACTACAAAGTAACTAATAGTGACAAATAATAATATGTGAAATCATATAAACAGTGTAAAGTCCCAATCTGTGCATAAATAAAATCTTCAATACACTGTGAGTCCACCAGTTACCACCGCTTGTGCTCCTTCACCAGCTAGAATGCGCTCTCACCTCCAACTCAGACCCATAAAGGGTCATATATGCTTCAAATGAATATGTTCAGCGATGATATCCTCAGATGTCCCCTCCGTGATGTATTGAGGAAATCCTCTTATATGGATCAAACACCAGCTATGACTAGGGTCATGCTCCAAATAAATGCAACCAGCAGTTATAACTTGGATGTCCCCTCCATGATGCACCAAAGGAATCCTCTCACATGGACCACACATGACTTCCCATAGTGTAATATGTTCTCAAATTTATTATAAACACAGAGTATTTACTCACATAAAAATCGGGGTCCACAGACAGATACAAGCATGTAGTACATAAAAATGGCAGAGATGGGTGTACCAAGATGGCAGCTGCCGTCCAAAATGACGTCACCATGCTTCCCTCCTACACGTTGCGTCACGAATCACGTGACTTCCTCAGGGATAGTAGCAGTGACATCATCACTGTGCTGTACATAGCTCTGTGTAAAAAGCAGAGCTGTAGGAGGGGCCCACCAGGCCCCACCCACTACAGAAAACTACAGAAGAGGTGGAGACCGGACCAGTCACCCAGCACAAGGGGAGAGAGCAGCAGTGAGCAATCTTTATTACAAGAAACTCCTGCAGAGAAAGATTAGATTAGATTCAGATTATAGGAAGAATTCAGGAACAATACACTCAATGAATGGATTTACATAAAAAGATTAAAACTATTTTTTTTTCTTATTTTGTCTGTTGAGTTCCTTGATAATAATTGGGTTATATTTATTAAGGAGACGGAGAAATGTTTTCTTTTCTGGGACACCCCAGCCTCTTATATATTGATAAAGGTTCCTCATCTTGTCTTGGTCGGTCTTCTCCCTCACCACAATATCAAGTTGTTCTTGTGTCAGAATCTTTTTATCCAAGAGATCATCAAGAACTGGCTTTATGCTGCTCACCTTTTCTATTAATTTTCCCCGGTGTGTATCTACAAAATGCTTTCCACCTGCAAAAAGAAGAAGACACATTTATACCTTTACTATAAACACATGTATTCCAATCTTTTCCCAAGTCAGCTAGATCTGTTCTGGGAGATTTTATAGCAGTACTTGCTAATAATTCACATGGGGGACTCAATGGGGCCCCATCAGGGGTGGACTGACAACTCATGGGGCCCCCGGGCAATAGGGGATCATGGGGCCCCTGTGTCCTTGCCCAAACTCAAAAAAGCCTATGAATAAGGTACCAGGGGCATCTCATGGGGACCCCTACTGACCC